GCCCTCTGCTCCACTCCTCCCTAAGGGTGCTGCAGACAGGCCTGTCTCCGCAGACTGCAGGGAGCTGCAGGGCAGGGCACGGCTGCGGGCCCGGGACACGGTGCGGGTGCTGGTCTGCATCGAGTCCCTGTGCCATCGCCACACGTGAGTGGGCCCTCGTGGGGGTCACAGGGGACATCTTGAGGGGGCAGGGGACCGTCTTGCCCATGGAGGGTGCAGGGCTTCCCCAAACACAGAGGACTGTGTTGAGCACTGGGGTGGGATCACCCGGGTCTCTGGGCACTGGCGTGGGGATGTCCCAGCCCCACAGCCACTATGCCCTCCTCCTCCCCCTGCTGCACCATGTCCAGGTCCCTGGAGGCCATCTCTGGCCTGGAGAGCAGTGGCCGGGTCTTCACGGTTCACGTGCAGGGGCTGCTGCAGCTGCAGGTGAGGCCAGGGGCCAGTGGGGCAGGAGGGGTCCTGAGCCTTCGGCCTCAGCCTGGGCACCACCCAGCCCAGCAAGTGGATAGACATTGGCCCTGTGGCCACTGAGGACCCCTGGGCCCCACCTGGCTTGGGGCAGATGCTGCCTGGTGGGGCCCTGAGGGTGGTGACGTCCACTGTGGGGTGTCTACAGGCTGGACAGTATGCCTCTGTCTTCATGGACAACGGCTCCGGGCTGGCCCTCACCATCCAGAGTGGCTCCAGCTTCTCCGGCCTGCTCGTGGGCACGTGACGACACTGACAGGGCCGCAGGGGAGCTGCCCTGCCACATTGCCCTCTGGTAGACCTGTGGTTATCGCAATAAAGAGCCCCCAGCCCTACCTGTCGCCTGGTCACTGTATCATCATGGGGGCAGCTGGGGAGAGGGCAGGGGCCGAAGTGTGCCATGGAGGGACCCGACCTCAGGACACTCCTTGGGCCACAGTGTGGCTCTGGGCTTTGCCCTGAAGGCAGAGGTTCCAGCTGAGCACCCTGGCAGCCCAGGTGCAGCCCCCAGGGCCCCTGCACCTGCTGTGGGCCATGTTTACTCTGTGGACAAAGACAGATGTCTATCCAGGCCCCTGCTCAGCCCTGCCCATGGCCTGGGACCTCCCCTCCGCTAGTCCAGGGCTGGTCCAGCCTTGGGGGGGCAGCAACCTATGTTCACCCACAGGACAGTGGCCAGATGCCATGTGCTGTGCTATGAGGCGGGCTGCCCCCAAGAGGGTCCAGTCCTGTGGGGCAGGTGGGGAGAGGACGTGCGCGCAGGCCACCTGCACCATGTGTAAACCTGGAGGGCGTCCCTGCGGCCTAGGGGCGCAGAGCTCGGCATGTGTGGCAGGGAGCTGGGGGTGGTCTAGCGGGCTCTTGTCTCCTTGGTTACCCCCTAGGAAACTTCTCGCCACTTTCTCCTTGACCCAAAGACAGGATCAGAGCTGCCCAGATGGGCCTCTAAGGCCCTGCCTGCGGGTCATGCGGATTCGGGCCCCTGCCCCCACCTCTTGTGGCCCCTGGCAAACCCAGACCAAAGAATGTAAATTGGTCTTGGGACGTCAGGGTCTCTACAGAGTGGCCAAGATACCATCTCTGGTTGGCACCTGGGCCCTGGGCAGGTGGTCTCACCTGGAGAGCGGAGGCCAGGCCCCTGACCCCTTCACGCACACCTGGGGGATGGGGCTCAGCAGAGTCTGGAGACCCATTTCCAAGGCTGAGCAGGGAAGGGCAGGGGCTCCAGGGTCTGCAGGCTCAGGGGCAGGGGTAGGAAGTAAGGCAGGTGGAGGCTGGAACCTGAGGGCTGTTACCCAGCCACTCCCCCTGGGACTCTCCCCGCAGCCGGCTGGGTAATGAGGCAGGAAGACGCTGGTGCCAGGCGGGCGCCAGTCCATGCAGCAGCGGGCTTGGCCGCTGACCCGTCCCCAACTCTCTCCCTGGTTCCCCTGGGGTGGCAGCAGGGGCTGAGGGGCCTGGGGAAAGTTCTCTGCTTCACAGTGGCTGCAGGCGCCGGCCAAGTTTGAGTGGAATGTTCTAGCCGCCTGCAAGGGTGAGACGTGAATGCCACACTGGGGTCGCTGTTGGGAGGCTGGGGGTGGGGGGAGCGGCACGCAGTGAAGGCAGAGGCTTGGGACGAGGTCACTGCCCTCTGCTTCCCATTACATGGTCCTATGTGGGGCTCTGGGAGCCCAGGCCTCCTGGGGCTGCTGTCCGGAGTCCAGCTTGGCCGCGGGCACCAGTGAGTGTTCCCCACCCACTTACGTGGGGAAACAGAGGCTGTGCATTGGCGGGACTACCCAGGTGCAGTCACTGGGATGCTGAGGGATGGTGGCCAGCGCCCAGCCTGGGGCCTCGCTGCACCCGGGGGCTCTCCTGACGGTCCTTCAACACCAGCCAGTGTCCCCACCCCAGCCAGCCCAGAGACCTGCTACAGGGGCTGTGATGACAGAGATCGGGACCTGGGCCCTGTGAGAGCGCCAGTAGGGAGG